CACATTGCCGAAGCGTTGCAATCGATCTCCTCTATGTCCGTTACAAATTAGGTTAGACCTTTAAATGATAATTTGTTCATCATATTCCTAATCGAATAAGGACTTATAGGTCATCCTGATGGTAATGCTTATGACAAACTCTCAGACTCTTGAGCGACCTCTCAACTCAGACTTCTTTCCAATTAATCTTCACGATTCCCTCCCGCACCTTATTGGCCTACATTATCGTTAATGCGTTCCTTTTTCGTTGCTTACTACGAACAATCTCCTGATAGGGGAGCGCTCACCGATCATGTTGCGGAACTGACTACCCCGTTGTGCTTTGGAGCTCTCTTTCGAGCCCAACGGGCAGCCGCACAGCGGCGCGTAGTGTAGGCAGAATAATGGAGACTGAAATGGTCATTTCTAGCATATTAGGCGTCGTCAGCCAGTCATATACAACCCCGAAGTGTGGAACGTCTGGGGCTCAATTCCCTGACCAGTTGGTTAGAAGCCCAGCGTCCCTAGCCACTAAGCCATGGGCTCGTTATCCTGTCGGTTGCGGATGGACGCATAAATAATAGGGGGGCGTCCGAGAGTGAGCCTCAAGGTCCAACAGGACGAGTGAGATCCATAACGCGATCGGTGAGCGTCCCTCTACCATTGTATGTACCTGACCACAACCGACAGGACAACGAGCCCGTGATTCAGCGGTTAGAGCGTTGAACTTCCAACCAACAGGTTGCATGTCGAGTTCCAGGAATTGCACACCTCGGAGTGGGGTATTTCTGGCTGACAATGGCTAATAAGCCATAAATGGCCATTCCAGTCTCCCTTGTCTTTGTCGGTAATGTTATTCGGAAAAAATATCCTCTCTGTTTCTAATCGTGTAAGATTCTGCTAATAAGAATTTTATCCCAAGTATTCCCCCCCCCCACCGCTCAACCATTCGCTCGCAAACCAACCGTTTACAATCGACCCCAAATAATACGCCATAACCGAACAGTCATTCCTTCCCATATTTCTTCTGCTTAGTGCCTTTAACTAGACCCATAATATGACTGACGAAATTAATATCATGTCATTTTCCGGATTAGGTTTTATGTCAAGTTACTCTTAGGCGATTTTAATTGGCCAAACATTGACCCGCATACTATTACTCTTAAACTCCGGACGGTTGTGGATGCAGGTCACTTTTCAAACCTGTATCAGTGAGTCCATTCAGCAACCATAGATGGCAGTGTATCAGATTTAATTTCTACTAATGGCATGCACCCGTTATTTGTGAATTTTCATCGTGACCCTTTACCAAGTGACCGCACATCAATTTATTTTCCTCCCGTTCCTCCTTCTAAAAAACCAGGGTAAATCGAAAATACCCTCACTTTGCTCATGTTAACGAACGACAAGATAATAACTTTTCTAGCGCCCCCAACTGGCCTACTATTTCTTCAAATTATGAGTCAGTCTTTTTTCCACAATTTTTAACAGTGCCTGACAGTTTTCGTCAATTTCATTCCACCGAAGACGTTTGATTAAAAAGGTGTTTCTTCTACTGTCCCACTGACGCACAGGCTCCAAACTGCCTTCATGTGGCTGGCTGCCAATCCTCATTTGGGTTTCAATCTAGCCTCACCCTAAGTCTGCTGGATCTTAGCATTCGAATGCGCAGTAGAATATTGCCCCGTACTCTCTCGGTGATCTGCTCATATGCTGCGCCATACTCTCACGGCAAATTTACTGAGCTTCGCCGTATACATTCTTAAAGCAGTTTTTTCTCTTGAAAACTATCCGAAAGTGAGGGCTCCCAGCCTGTCCCCTTCATTTCAGTTCCAGGAGTTTGCCTTATCTGTCTTGTCCTGTACTCGCTTTTTTTCTCATGATCTTCTCATTTGAGATTCGTTCATATTACTACCGACAGTATTGTATGCGAAGACTGATCTTCGACGGATGTCAAAATTCTGTCTACTTTACACAACATCAGTTCCAAGTTTTACTATACATATCACTGTCTTTGCCATTTAACTTCGGGTTAGCTCTCTTTGTATAACACCCTCCAGGCGCCTTAAATAAAACCCATATAACTTTTCGAGCGTAGGCCGTAATTTACTTCAAAGTACTTAGAACGATTGGATTCATCTTCTGTAATCTTAAATTTGGTGGCATTTGAACGCGTCTCTAAAGAATTTACTTTGGATCCGGAATCAAGTGTTTTTCTTTTTTTACCTGGTTTCCTCTGCACGTGCGAATGGGGGTAGATTGGATCTGTCCGGCACTTTTTTAACAAAAGAATGTTGACCCCGGAATACAGGAAGTGGATTTTCTAAGAAGGTTGTAGGCCCAATTTCAGACCCTTTTCACCCTCGCGAACTAAAAAAGGGACTATGCATAAGATGAATGCTGTTAAATTGTCGTACGTTAAAACTGTTGTCTAATTTCAGACATACTGCTTACCCGCGGCACAGTGCTCACCCCGTGATCTTTATTTTCTTATCTGGCGGTTGTATATTGTCTATTCTTTTCTGTCTAAGTCGTGTTTCTGTTGCTATTGGAAAACTTTTTCTCGGAATACAAAAATCTTGCTAAACTAAGCTTTGTTTAAACGAACTATCACCCGACCTTTCGGTTCTGAGCAACTTTGAAGCCTCTTCGTATAATCCGCCGAATGCATCCTTTGTAATAACGTAATCCATGATATTTAATCGTTCTTTAAGGTCTTATGTCGAGTCTAATAATGCTGACTCTCCGGTCCGCCACTCATCCGATAAGTTCATTAACAGGCGACTAGCGGCTGTTTAATGCTTCTCCTCTTATCTTATTCAGATCTCCTGTTCTAAGAAAAGAAGTAAAGTCTGTGGCATCTTGGCATCCACGTGGCTAACTACTTTTGTTCTGTTCAACGGCTATTTCCAGATCTGCAACGTCTTCTCCTAAATGACTCGGATTAGGCATATTGTTCTGATCATTCAAGACCCAAGTAACTTTGTACTGTCATACATGGATTTTCCCCTGCTTGTTGATTCCACTGTCTGTTAACTGGCATAAGATATAATTTCTTCTGTTTTATTATTAATTCGATGACTGAACTCGAAAACGCTGTTTTCGGAACGAAACCCCATGTTTCACTCCTAAGCGAAGTCATTACCCATTGTCCAGCTCCCAGCCCTCCACTTTATATTGGCAGCTTTGAGTTATGCGGCAAATATCACTCAAGTAGTTGTCGCTGTTGTTATTTTTTATTAGTCTAGATCCTCATCACGGCACTTTCCTTACTATCAGAAGGCGACTGTTTTTCTCGAGGAAAGAGAAAAGTTATACTTAACTGCCATTATGTAACTCTCCGATAAATCATTAGATCGGCTTTCCAAATTTTCAGTGAGGTTAGACTAATTGCTGTTGATTTCAGCTTCCCTAAAGTAAATGGACTATCGTACTTTTATACCCGTTTCACCCTTTTCTTATAGTATTAAATAATCTATCAAGAGACGACCGCATTCTCCACCTGACTGACCACTTTATCCGTGGCTTCCTTGAAGATCATCCTTATTCAGGTTTCGCCATACACTCAATGTTTCTCCGAATTAAGTAAGAGACAACTAAACAGCTCAGATTACCCACGCCCCTAAGTACAGTGCGATATTCAGATTCACTATTAAAAACTTATCGGACCTCCTTCGGTTACCCAATTATCTTCCCTCAGTACTTCCTTTCCAAAAAATGAAGGACATCGATTGTGCTTCCAACATTCAAGTCATGGTTACGGTCTGTATTTGATGACCATCAGTCGTCAAGACACTTGTTCTCGTAATAGTTTTCTTTAGCAATCTTCATGGCTTCTGTTTGATCTGTCGTAATCTCATCGCTACTCAGCAAGCCCCTTCTAATTCGTTATGGGCAGCAGTCAAACTTAGTATCTGCTTCGATCTGGAGTGTAGGGGTGTCAGTGGTGGGTTCACGTGACGGTCGTAGTGGTCGCTCAGTTGCTTGCAGGTAGCTCCACGTAGCTGGGCTCTGCTCAGCGGCCACACCCCGGGCAACCGCCTCGACCGGCGGGCTAAACCAGGTGAGGGCGGTTACTACCGGTGCGAGTTGTGCCACGTGCACATGGTACTGCGGACTCCGCTGGACGGTTGGTCGGATGGAACACCGTGTCGGCGCCGTCGTGAAGAGGTTTCGTCTACGCTGTCGGTTAGCCGGTTGTTTGAACATCGCATCGGCATCGTCGAGACGAGGCTCCGCCTGATACGCCGTTGATCAGCCGGTGGGATGGAGTTTCGAATCGACATCGCGGACTCACGCCCATCTGGTGAACCGTAGGAGACCGCAGTTTTACGGCAATGCCGTAAGCCATTGGCAAATTCGAGTCGTTCTTCCATTGCAAAACAAACTCGTGGCCCACAGTAGTGTTCGGCCGCGCCGGCACATCAAGCAGCACTATTCAGAAACTAGGCACTGCTTCTCTTCGGACGGGGCCCGGAAAACCTGGCCTAAAAATTGCTGGGGAACCACGTCGTCTGCAGGCGCACCGTGGTCGCAGACGCAAAACTTACGCTCGAAACAATCAAAATCGAAATAACAACAACAACCAAACTCACTCTCTTCATCCTACCCTTTCTTCCTCTTCCTCTGCGTATTCTTCTGCTTATACGTCTCCTTCGTCACCTTCTTCTCCATCTCCTTCCCGTCGCCCCACTCGTTGTGCCCAGACTGGCAGGGTGAGTCCGCTCACTCTGGCAGCCTGGAATGTTCGTTCCCTTTTAGACAATCCAAGGAGCAACCGACCGGAACGGAGGACGGCGCCAGTGAGCCGGGAACTGGCGCGCTACAAGGTGGACATCGTCGCACTCAGCTAGACCCGATTCTCCGAACAAGGCCAACTGGAGTAGGTGGGTGCCGGCTACACCTTCTTCTGGAGTAGCCGGCCCAGAGCAGAGCGACGAGACGCGGGTGTCGCCTTCGTTATCCGGAACGACATCGTAGGACGACTGCCCTGTTTGCCGTAGGGCATCAACGATCGCCTGATGAGCCTTCGCCTGCCTCTCTGGGAAGGCAAATTCGCCACCATCATCAGCGCCTACGCTCCACCGATGACAAACCCCGACGTCGCACGAGACAAATTCTACGAGGACCTGCACGCCCTCTTGGCGACTGTGCCGAAGGCGGACAAGTTGATTGTCCTTGGTGAACTCAACGCCCGCGTCGACACAGAAAAAACTGCCTGGAGAGGAGTGCTGGGTCCCCACGGTCTCCGCGGCTCCAACGACAACGGCCTGCCGCTGCTCCGCACCTGCGCAGAACACCGCCTCATCCTGGAGGCATCCTCGGTCGCGTCAGTGGCACCTGCTGGACTATGTCCTCGTCCGCAGGCGAGATCAGCGGGGCGTGCTGGTGACGAAGGCGATCGCGGGTGCTGACGGGTGGACCGACCATCGCCTCGTCATCTCAAAGATGCGTATTCGTCTACAACCTCGCAGGCGACCACAAGGTAAGCGACCCCCAGGTAAGCTGAATGTTGCCTCGTTGTCTTTGCCCGCTCATCATCCTCATTTCAGCAATGAGCCAGCTCAACGGCTAGACAACCTTTCTATCGCTGCCGACGACGCCGCTGTCGAGAACGCCTCCGTGGAGAACCGCTGGTGTCAACTGCGAGACACGGTCCAGTCGACGGCGCTCGCCGTCCTCGGTCGCGCTCCCCACCAACACCAGGACTGGTTCGACGACAACGACGCCGCCATCAGAAATCTGCTAGCTGAGAAGAACCGCCTACACAAAGCCTATGTAGACCACCCCACTGACGACAACAGAGCTGCCTTCTACCGCAGTCGCACTAGTTTCAACAACGGCTGCGCGAGATGCAAGACACCTGGACTGCTCGCAAAGCTGAGGAGATCCGAGGGTACGCGACCGCAACGAGTGGAAGAACTCCTTCTCTGCTATCAAAGCTCTCTACGGTCCGCCGACGAAGGGCACTGCTCCTCAACCGCCCCTCCGCCATCTCCGACGTCGCCATCGAGCGCAAGTTTGACGCAAGTGGAGACCAACGTGGACCTCGATCATGCAGAAATTCGGCTGTCCGGAGTGATTCACTCAGACGGTGCGTCAGCTGCGCGACGGTATGATGGCACGAGTCACGGACAACGCAGCGGTCTCGGAGGCTTTCGCAGTGACCAACGGAGTGAAGCAGGGATGCGTGCTGGCGTCTTCCCTCTTCAGTCTTATGTTTTCTGCCATGCTGATGGACGCCTACCGCGACGAACGCCCTGGAATCCGCATCGCCTACAGAACGTACGGTCATCTCCTGAATCAACGGCGGATGCACTTCTAATCACGCGTCTCCACAACCACCGTTCACGAAACTCTCTTCGCCGACGACTGCGCCCTGAACACCACCCCGGTGGAGGAGATGCAATGGAGCATGGACCTCTTCTCTGCCGCCTGCGAGAACTTCGGTCTGGTCATTAGCACGCAGAAGACGGTGGTCATGCATCAACCGCCACCCAAAACAACCACTCCTCACAACGCGCCGCCGCAAATCAGCGTGAACGGAAATCAACTGCAAGTGGTGGAGAACTTCCCGTACCTGGGCAGCACCCTCTCCCTTAACGCCAAAATCGATGACGAAGTCGCCAACAGGATCTCGAAAGCCAGTCAAGCCTTCGGCTGCCTCCAAAGCAAAGTCTGGAACCGTCACGGTTTTCAAATGAGCACGAAGCTGAAGATGTACAAGGCCGTCACCCTGCCGACACAACTGTATGGAGCGGAGACTTGGACGGTGTACACGAGGCAGGCACGCCGTCTGAACCACTTCCTCCCCAGTTGTCTCCGTTGCATCCTGAGGCTGAACTGGCAGGATCACATCCCCGACACTGATATGCTGGAACAGACGGGAATCCTCAGCATCTACACCATGCTGAGACAAATGCAGCTGCGCTGGAGCGGCCACCTGGTGCGCATGGACGACGAGCGGCTACCAAACGACTCTTCTACTGAGACGTCGCGACGAGTTCTCGCCGCCAAGGAGGCCAAATTCGTCGATAAAAGTATACTCTTAAGTCCTCCCTGAAGCATCTGCAAATCAACACGACCAACTGGAAAGAGCTCGCCCTCGACCGAGCGACCTGGAAGATGAAAGTGAAGACAGGCGCTGCGATCTATGAGGCAAACCGAATCGCCGCTGCCAAAGTGAAACGCGACGCACGCAAATCACGGCCACGCCCCGTCCGCAACGCCGACGCTCAACCGATTCCAACGTGTCCTCGGTTTCAACGGACATTTCGGGCACGAATTGAGCTCATTGGACACCTTCGGACCAAATGCACCTCCCATACCGCACCAACCGCCGTCCCTCCGTCCGCCTCTTCCTCGTCCTCTCCGCCGCCAACTAACTCTGACAATTCTTCTAAACCACCACTTCCGTCTTCCCCCTCTCCCTCCTCCTCCTCTTCCTCCTCCTCCTCCTTTTCATCTTCTTCTTCGTCCTCCCCCTCCTCCTCCTCCGCATCTTCCTCCTCGTGCCCCACTGCATCAACTACGGCCGCTCTGGTGGCCGCCACTCATGCCAGCATCACACACATCCATGACACAACAACAGACACCATCCCTCCAACCTCCGACTCCATGGGTGAGGACTAGGACTACGCCTGCCCTCACTGCGACCGCACCTTCACCTCACATATCGGCCTGGTCAGTCACTTGCGAATCCATCACACAGTGTCTGGAGAACCAGTGCCAGGAGCACCAACCTACACCCACCGTACTCGCCTCCACTGCCTACACTGCCATCGCACCTTCACGCATCGCCTGAGCCTATTCGGCCACATGCGCATCCACGATAGCGGAATTGACCGCCCTCCCGACTTACCCACCACGCCAGACCCCATCCCCACTTCATCACCCATCACCGTCATCGCAGCTGACACCGACACCACCGACTTCGCCTGCCCACACTGTCCACGCACAGTCCCCTCTCGCCTCGGCCTGGTCGGTAACTTGCGAATTCATCGCACGGAGACTGGTGAACCAGTGCCTTGAGCACCAGCCTATATCCACCAAGCTCACCTCCACTGCCCACACTGCCCTTGCACCTTCACGCATCGCATGGGCCTACTCGGCCACGTGCGCATCCACGATGACCTGCGGTAGACAACCGCCGGCTACACCACACCACAACACCCTGCCTCCCTGTCTCCTCCTCCTCCTCCACCACCACCACCACCACACATCAGCACTCACACACCGCAAGCACCCAACTGTCACCTCCCACGCAAGTGGGAAGTGTACATCTCGACTCGGTCCCCATGCGGCTTCGGCTGCACGGGTGACTTGAGTCTGAGACTATCCCGACACTTCAAGTGTCGTGGATAGGAAGGTTACTGATTGATGCCCCCGCTCGGTCTACGCAGTTCGCCGCGTTGTGTGTGTTGTGTGGAGTGGCGGAGTGGTGGGCTAGGGAGGGGCTGAAGTAGCACCTTCCCGGCTCTCTCACGCAAGTAAGAGACACGCCGTTCAACCCCCGTTGTGTGAAATCCTGGTGTTTGTATGTATGGGGGGCCAGGTCGTGCTGTGGCGCGCGCAGTCATGTTCAGTCGATCATGCCAGCCACCGCGCCCATTTCCCACTCCAGTCTGCTGACCGGCTCGGACAGCGGCTGGGGTGTGGGATTGGGAAGGGAGAGTGAGTTCGACGACTCAGCGCACTTTCTCCTCACTATAAACAATCTGACGCGCTTGAAGGTATCACGGTGCGCTAAAAGTTGTGGCTTGGAAGGTTGCCAACTGACGGGGTAACTTGGACCTCCTTGACCGGAGGCGGTCTGAGAGTCAGGCTCCAATGGCTTTTTTTAATGTGGCCTTTATGGCACTCCCATCACCGTTTGGGAGCCGAGCCAGGCGTCGGCGGCACGCCCAGGTGCGGCTTCGGCCGTGCCAGCCACAAATCTCTCTTGTGTTGGTTGAAGTCCTAGTTATTTGTTGTGTGGACCAGGGGGTGTGGTAGAACGCCAAGGCGAGGATCCGTCCGAGTCATCCACCTGCGGCCTCCCTCGTCTCCAGTCTTCTTGACCCTGTCTTGACACCGGGCTCGGGCGAGGGAGGAGGAGAGAGTGTAGGTAGATGTTACGCAAGTCTACCGGCACTATAAACCCCTGCGCCAGTCACCATCCCTGCTCCCACCGCTGCTGCAGCTGTGGGGCACACGGTGGACACCATCGAAATCGATGGTGAACTGTCATCTTCTGCGATCTAAATGCTGTTTTGACAACAAAATACACATGTGGTTTATGCAAATTAGAAAACTTTCAAATCCGTTCCCTCCTTTTGGTCTGATTTGCCCCTGGTTATCCAACATCCGATAAAAGGCGTTGCTGTCTGTTGCTTATTTTTCCCTCGTTTAAGTGCGTGTATTTTTCTTCAAGACCCTATTGTGATCATTGTCTAGGTCTTAATTATCGATCAGATATGCTAAGGCATTCATTAACGCTGATGGCATAATCAGGTTTAATCATTTGAAAAACACGGCAGATGTTTATGCTGCAAAAATTATTTTAGCTCTGTCCTACTTGTCTTAGTGTAGTTGGTCTGGTCAGATGGAGTTTATCTATTTCAGAAGTAATTTCGTGTAATTTAGCATCGATAAAATTTTCGGGCCCATAATTCTACTAAAAAAGGCGCTAGCGCGGAAAAGTCAAAGCCAGTCAGGAAGAGGAAGCGAGTTATGTCTCCAGAGGAAACTCTAGACAAATCAGTTCCGGTGGATAACGTGGCAGTCGACACTAATGCATTAAAAATAAGTCAGGTTCCATTACCTGCTACAGTAACAAAACCTGCCAAATCATCGAACAATAAAGTTGGGAAAGCCAGGATGACCCTCAGAAGATCTGTTGGGAACTACAAGGACTCGCCGTTATTCTTGGAAGGCAATGCTGTTACTCCACTTCTTCACAAGGCTAACTCATCTGGAAAGTGCCCTAACCATTCCGTTTATGGAAAAGGACATGATAAGCCTTCATGCAGTACATTGCAACAGGGTAATGATTGTAAGAGCTCAACTGCCGAAGCAAGTACGTCACATGGAAATCCATGCCCTAAACTCCCTTCGCCGGCCGAAAATCATTCAAATGTCGAAGTGACAACAGCCGTCGGGAATACTACAGTAGCATTATATCGTCCTAGCGCGGACGGGACAGTAATGAGCTCTTCCATAAATCGTAAGCAAAATATTGTCATAAGGGGCGCCCCAGAGTCCACGTCCTGCATTCCGAAGGAACGAGTGACGCACGACCTAGACCTTCTTCATCAGTACGCCAGTGCCGTCCTGCAGGAAGGGGAAATATTCACCGTTAAAAAAGCTTTCCGACTAGGCAGACCGGACCCAAATCGTGACCTAAAAACATCCCCAAAACCCCTGAAAGTTATTTTGGAAAACGAAGCCCAAGCAGCGCTTTTGTTAGAAAGTAGAACGACCTTACGCAATTCGCACAAGGAAGTGTTTTTTCAACCAGACTACGAACCGAGGGAAAGACTGATAATGAGAGAACTGAGATCAGAATTGAAGGAGAAAATTGGCAGAGGAGAGAAAGGGCTGATGATCAAAAATGGACAAATAGTCCAAAGAAAGGGGTCTTTCCTGTGGTCAGAACCCGTCACAATGAAGACCGGGCCTCTCCAACAAATCAGTCATTGAAGGTTATATCCGCAAATGTGCAAAGCCTCTTTAACAAACTAGATGAACTAAGAGACTTAGTTGATGAAATTAAGCCAGACATTATGGCAATCACAGAAACGTGGCTTACTGAAGATATCGCAGATTCAGAAATATCACTTAGAGGATATCAGCACTTCAGGAGAGATAGACTAAGCCGAGGAGGAGGAGTCATTATTTATGTCACTTGCAAGCTAAGCGCTATGGCTGATGTACATAGACCGGTACGGGATGTGGAACTGCTAAGCGTTACCATATCTACTAAGAATGTCCGATCATTGACGCTTTCGGCAGTGTCCCGTTCACCTAACCATACTTCTGACCAAGATCTCATGCTCATATCCGAACTGTACCAAGCTAGCGAGAAGAAAGACGTCCTTATCGTTGGGGATTTTAACGCTCCTGGCATTGATTGGCTAACGTGGACTGCACAAGGGCCGCAAGACAGCTTTAATCACAAACTACTACAATGGGCAACAGACAAACTTCTCTGCCAGAATGTTACCTTTGGAACACGGGTCAGGGAAGGGCAGCAGTCGAACTGCCTTGATCTTATTTTTATCCGAGAGGAGGAAAACGTGTTAGACCTGCAGGACCGACAGCCGTTAGGGTCAAGCGACCACATCACGCTCTACTTCGAGTACTCACTGTTTTACAAACCCGTCCAACCCGAGAGGTGGGAGAGAAACATTTGGAAAGGTGACTATTCTCTCATGAGAAGGGAAGCGGCAGCTATGTCATGGGAGACTGAACTGCATGGTCGAGCAAACGATAACTGGAATACTTTCAGTTCCTTACTGAAAGAGATTGTTTATTCCAATTGTCCTCTTAGAAGGAAGACAATCACAAACCGCCCAAAATGGATAAACCCGGACTTGAAGGCCTCTTTCAGAAAAAGGAATCGTCTGTGGAGGCGTTACAGACAAACTGGCTCCGACGAACACTTACAGGAATATAAGCGGCAACGAAACGTCTGTAAAAGTGAGGCCTCAAAGCTGCGAAAGAAGTTTGAACTGAACATACTCCGAAACTCGTTGGTGCATCCGAAAATTCTATATGGTTATATACGAAGTACTAAAAGGACTCAGGAGCTAATCCCTGCCCTCAGGTCTGCAGATGGGAAAGTGGAGATTGATGACCAGGTTAAAGCGTCCCTCCTTTCCGACTTCTTTCAGTATGTCTTCACCCGAGAACCTAGTGCTATATTTGCCCATCCATCCATTCGCCAAACAACCTCTCCTCCCAGTACCCTTCCCCATCCTATCCCCTCCCTACCCTCCTTAACCGAGGAACCACTCTTTTCATCTACCATTGTTAGGGCCGAGCTACTCCGGCTGAAACCTGCCAAATCGCCTGGCCCAGATA